TCTAAATTCAAAATCATTTCATTCAACTTAGATGTCAGCATAACACACTTGTTGAATGTTAAAATATAAATAAAATTTTTAACTCTACCATCGGTTCCAAAAAGAGCCACAGTCCTGAGAAGAACCGGCGAAACAAACTCAGCGGTTTTTTCTATTTTTTTTGTTTTTTCTCAATTTTTTTGTTTTTTAGTAGAAAAACAAGTAGAAAAATACAATTAAAAAAATAATAATAATGAAAAATGAAAAGGCCAGGAGCGAACGCCTCATTCTCACGTAGTGCCATCTAGTAAATAATCCTTAACTTTATAATATGCATAGTTGCACAAACGTTCCTTGACAGTTTTCTTAAATCTATGAACAGGTAGTAATTGAACGTTTTGTGGGATCTTGTTGAAAAGATGTACTCCCAGCCCCCTAAAAGAGTTGCTTATAAACGATCCAAGATACTATACGGCATGTCGGAGTCAATATTTCAGTGAAAGATATTCAATATATTCGGAGACCGGGCGTGTTTGTTTCTCTTTTATTTGTTCGTTGTTTTTCTTATTTGTTTACGACATTTATGAAATTGGAGATTAATACTGGCTCAAGGCCGTGGAATGTATGACGTTTGCATGTTGACTTCCTTGTTCAATTATCGTAAATACAATTCTGTCAGTATTTACTGCGAGAAGTTTGAGCAATCTAGTTTAATTGACAGCCTTTTTAATACGCTTTTATTAGCTTCAGACGTATGTATGTTAGTATGTAACGGAATCTTTGAACACGATTTTGACCCCCTTCAAATTGTCATCATCATCATCATCATCATTCTTTGCTATTACCCTCTGCTGGGGTGTAGGGCTCGAATCAAATTTTTCCATTTATATCGGTCTTGGGCAATCTGTTCTAGCTCCTCCCACGTCATGCCCAAGACCCCTAGCTCCTGCTCCACCGAGCGACGCCAAGTTGTTCTGGGGCGGCCTCTCTTCCTTTTGCCAGACACTTTCCAGGTCAGTGCTCTCTTTGATAGGTGGGTATCGGGCTTTCTCAAAGTGTGACCAATCCAACACTTGTTGTATATCATTAAAAAAAGAAGACAAAGTTAATTATTCGTTCAGTTTGCTGCTGTTTTTGCATGTCTTTTTATTTATCTTTTATGTTTAAAACTGTAATGGGATTTTGTGTGTCCCTGCCGTATTCCAAAACTCATATTAAGTTAACTAACTAATAAATCTAAATCGCAATTTGCATGATCACATCCGCTAATAATTCCGATCAAACGTTCTCGACTAATTATTGAAACGCCAAATTGCAATGCGTCTATTGTTTGTCATCGCTATGATTCAGTAACTTTGTTACGCATTCAATCGAAATGTTAAATCATATTCAATGGTATCAATCTCGCTATAGGCAGACGAGCACATTGTCAATCTGCTGCTAGTCTTTGTAGTCATAGTCTATTTTTAATACGATTTTATTAGCTTCATACATATGTCATACCCGATCGTGTAGACCGAATGGTAAACAGTCGACGTCGCCCAAAACACGCCATTACGGATCCTCCTGATCCATTAACGGTGCTTTTAGGTACCACAAGCATCGGTCACCGTCCTCGTCGAACCCGTCGCTTGCGACGAAGGGCTCAACGAGCGAATTAACCCATAGACACAGCCCACTGAGTTTCTCGCCGGATCTTCTCAGTGGGTCGCGTTTCCGATCCGGTGGTAGGTTCTGCGAAGCACTGCTCTTGCTAGGGCCAGTGTTAGCACCACTCCGGTTTGAGTCCTGTGAGCTCACCTACACATTAGGGCGAAGCTGATATAGCCTCTCAAGGCTATCAGCATAGGCAGGAAAAATACATATGTTATATTAGTATGTAACGAAATATTTGAACATGATTTTGACCCCCTTCAAAACATCGGATTAACTCGAAATTTGGCAAACTTATCAGATGACAATTCAATATTTAAAAACAGTTAGACCCATTATTTACTTTCGGCAGTCAAAACAACACATTTGAGCGCCTTCTTTTTTTCACTTAGCAAATAGGGAACTCTTGTATTTGCCTGAAAGTACGTTAATGAATAATATAAGATACTTAAATGCTACTTAAATTAAAAAATGAAAAATAGATAATAGCTTAAATCAAAACTAAAAAACACGCTTTTTAATAGAAAATCCGACTAATTTTGTGAAAATAAAGTTATTTTTAATAAGAACGTGGTTTTTTTTAAACTATTATATATTATTGATGACTTGGGTTAATGAGCTCACGGCCCAGGTGATGTTAAGCGTTTTCCGGAGTCTATAGACATCGCAACCTGAAACAAGTCACTTTATGTCGTGAGTTCAAAGTCACGATTGGGCAGTAACTGTCCCATTTTTATAGTATTTGCAGTAATCCTCTGTGTTCCCCCTCTATGCTGAATCTTCCCCATTTGCTACCAATCATCACTACTCTGCCTATATCGGCCGCGAAGAAATAATCATGGGTTCCCGCTTGAAGGATAGCTTAGCTACTAAACAATTGAAGCTGAGCTCATTTTTCATATGGATAATGGAATCGAGAATGTAACGCTTACAATTTTCGGTACCCGCTTAATGCTAGGCGACCCAAAATGCAGCAGAGATGATAGTTCCTAATAAGACGTCAATGCGTAGGTAATAGACAATATGTAAAAAAAAAATAAAAACAGTGTTCGCGTGAAAAGCCTCAGACTCCAATAAATATTTTTTTAATTTATTATCTATGACTAATGTCATTGTGTCACCGTCTTGAAAAATTATCTTTACTTAATACCTACACTCTCTATGGAAAACGCAAGCATATTTTAATTTACTCTCGATCCATTCAAGAAAATCAGTAAGGAATAAGAAAATGAAACCCATTTGCCGAAACAAATAGTGATGTTACACCACGGGATTGGAACGCGTCATTCGCGTTTGGACTAGCCTAGGTCGAATGCAGTCCGCGTTAGCACAACGAGATCCATCGATAAATATTTATTACTAGGTAAATTAAGCCGTGATTGAACGGCGCCTGCAATCATGCAAATACGTACGAAAATTCATTGTGATGCAGATTCGGGAGTTAGGGCATTATGGTCCTGAGATCGCGATTGATACCGTTGATTGACGCCAAAACGATATTCTCCTGTGGATGTTCTGCTTTGTTCATAGTATAAAATAATATTTTTGTTTCTTTTAATGTTTCAATAGAACAAAAATCCGCACATGGTACTGCATTTGTTTTTAGTCTGTTTAACTCAACAGCTGCGTTAGTTGGATTGGTAGGACCTCTTGTGAGTCCGCGCGGGTAGGTACTACCGCTCTGCCTATTTCTGTCGTGAAGCAGTAATGCGAGACTTTAGAGCTTATATATCAAGATGGGTGGCGCATTTACGATGGGCTCCAGTAACCACTAAGCACCAGGTGAGCTCTGAGCTCGTCCACCCATCTAAGCAATAAAAAATTTGTTGAATTGTATTTTTTTGACTTGTTTTTTCGTATACTGTAAATATGTTTTCTTGTTTACAAAAAAAAAAGAAAATAGTTGAGAAAATACAAAAAAAAAAAAAAAAGCCCGCTGAGTTTGTTTCGCCGGTTCTTCTTAGGACTGTGGCTTTTTTTGGAACCGGTGGTAGAGTTAACATTTTCTTTTACATTTTGACATTCAACAAGTGTGTTTTTGATGACATCCAAGTTGAAATAAATGATTTTGAATTTGAATTTGAATTTGAAAAAAAAACTGTGAAGACGGCAACGAAGCTTTCGTGTTTTTTTTTGCATTGCTCTGTGAACGGGCTTATGACCTCTAGACGTAAATGCCTCCACTCACCACGAGACATGAGATCGAATTATCGAATTTACTCCATTACCCGAATTCTGTCTTCGATCGCGCTTCAAACCTGTGTGCTTAGTGCGTTTTTTTAACGTTCCCGATAGCGTTAAAGTTAATTCAAATTTGTATGCAGTTGGTACAGCGCCCCTAGCGGCAAACGTAGGTAAACGTTCCAACTCCATACAAATTTGAGTTAACTTTTACGCTATCGAGAACGTTAAAAAACTCGCTCTATGCATCCTGTACTTTGCGGCAAAATAGGCGGGATGTTTATTTTTAAGTACATTATCAGGAAGGAAAAGTTGACCCACTTTCCGTTGCAAAAAAATATGCTTGAAAACATAACAAAAAAAAAAAAACTTAATTATTGGTTAATACGATACTTAACGGTATAATAAACAACGCTTCATCCATATTAACGTTTATAACCATAGACTCGGTAATATGGTGTAAGCCTTGCATAGTAATTAAAATATTATCGGGTCGGTTCACATCATAATCATAATTAATGTTACTACGTTAATTAACCGGTTTAATCGAATATCGGATATGGAGATTATCGATTTTGTCGTGTTTTTTCTTTTAGTACGAAAGGATTTGTTGTGGTCGCGTTGATTCGTAAGCGAGTCTATTTGTTATAATAGCTTATTGTTTTGCTCACAAGAATCTGCCGTAATCTGAATAATTAGTAGTAGAGTAGTAGTAGTAAACTTAACGGTTGGTTAAGTTCAACAAATTGTCGATTTTTTTTATTTTTTTTTTTATTGCTTAGATGGGTGGACGAGCTCACAGCCCACCTGATGTTAAGTGGTTACTGGAGCCCATAGACATCTACAACGTAGACGCGCCACCCACCTTGAGATACAAGTTCTAAAGTCTCAGTATAGTTACAACGGCTGCCTCACCCTTCAAACCGAAACGCATTTCTGCTTCACGGCAGAAATAACCAGGGCGGTGGTACCTATCCGCGCGGACTCACAAGTGGTCCTACCACCATTAATTACGCAAATTATAATTTTAGCTCCACCTTCGGCTATTAGATTCACTAGTAAGACCTAGTGCACCATATGCATCATATTCTATGCACCTATGCACCATAAAATAATTCGATAGGAAATTCAGAGGTTGATTCTGAGTAGATGCTGTTCTATGGTAGCCGATGAATTCAAATTATTACCTGGAACAATCCGTAGCTAGAGTAGGAGTTGTTGTGGTTCGTAATCTTCTCGGTTGTTCTGCTGCTCATGTGCTCTATGAGGCATACCCCTGATAGACAAAAAATATCTATATATTAATACGTGAAGCAAAAACTTTGTACCCCTTTTTACGAAAATTGCGCGGACGGAGGAGTATAAAGTTTCCCACACTTATAGAGGATATAGAGAAGGAGTGCAGAATTTTTATTTATTAATTGTGCATAAAAAATACATTAAATCAATAAGTAAAAACATTATATACACTACCATGTAGGTACTTGACACACACACGCATGCATACTATTTGTTTATGTCAAACTTTTCATATTGCTTATAGTCGGTGGTCAAATTGAGAATAGATTAAATATTGTTTGTCTTTATTGATATTTGTCTATAGTGTAGTCTTGGTGAAATCTGTGAGAAGTACTAGATGATGACCGGTTAGTTGCCCTCAATTAAGAAAAATAGTATTATTATTCGCCAATAGATGTCGGGAAGAGTTGATTATTGAAAACACGAATAAAACAACATTTTCTGAAAATAAATCGTAGCTAGATCGATTTATCGCCCCCGAAATCCCCTGTATACTAAATTTAATGAAAATCGTTGGAGCCGTTTCCGTATATATATATATGTCGTGGATAACGACTTTTAGTAATATTAAGACGGTGGTTTTGATTATTATTTTAAATGATGAAATGTTATTTTGATAAATATCACAAAATGAAGGGTAGACTCCGTAACGCCACAGTATAAAATGGCGGTACGTGGACAGAGTCGTGGCATTTCCGTGTCAGACAGTAATTCCGTCCGTCTCAGTTAGTCTCTGTCAGCCAGTCAGTCGGTCTGTCGGTATATGCAACGAAACTGTCGGTTTATCCTGTCATTGTGAAAGTTGTGTGTGTTGAGTTTCAATAATTGTTATTCAAAAAGTTTTATTAACTAAACTGAGTTCAATCGAATACGAGTGATGACGGAACCTACCGCTCAGCCATCCCTGACGCGTGCCGACATCAGAAGTGAGATCAGGACTCTACTCTCACTGGCGTGACGTGTTTGAACATGTTCGAAGTACAGCAAAAAAAAACATGATGCAGATCAGAATACTAGTAGTGGTACGCCACAAGAGCGTGAATGCAGCATACGTAAGTCGTGTAATAACGTCTCCGTTACCTCGATGGAAGATCTGACCACGAAGAAATCGTCACATCTTACGTTCTGGCTCATGTTGCCCAGTTTGACTGTCGACTTCATCACATGGCATTTACTAGCGGAAATACAACACGTAACAAGCTATTGCAAGAAATTAAGGCAAGTGCAAATCTCAATGACGAGTGGGTAGTTCCGACAAGAGTTATTTTAAGCGGCTGACTTCTGNTCAGAATGGCCGTGTCGTGGATAACGACTTTTAGTAATATTAAGACGGTGGTTTTGATTATTATTTTAAATGATGAAATGTTATTTTGATAAATATCACAAAATGAAGGGTAGACTCCGTAACGCCACAGTATAAAATGGCGGTACGTGGACAGAGTCGTGGCATTTCCGTGTCAGACAGTAATTCCGTCCGTCTCAGTTAGTGAGTCTCTGTCAGCCAGTCAGTCGGTCAGTCGGTCTGTCGGTATATGCAACGAAACTGTCGGTTTATCCTGTCATTGTGAAAGTTGTGTGTGTTGAGTTTCAATAATTGTTATTCAAAAAGTTTTATAACTAAACTGAGTTCAATCGAATACGAGTGATGACGGAACCTACCGCTCAGCCATCCCTGACGCGTGCCGACATATATATATTCTTGTATATATATATATATAAAAGAATTGCTCGTTTAAAGGTATAAGATAAGATAAGATAATAGTCTTTGACAATAGAATCATAATAGTCTACAAACATATAATTTCAATTAATTATACTCGAATTTCGACTACCGGGGGACCATTAGTATATATTAAAACACGTGTTTCTGAGAATCACAAAACAAAACTTCAAACTACACGCTCCGTCTTTTGGATAACCATCCATTTAAGATATCGTAAGATATTGTCCGGCAACTGGAGCCATTAAAAACAAATTGCTCCCCAAAGCACACTGGAACTGGTTCAATTGATACGACAACATTAAGTGATTACTGGTGGTAGGACCTCTTGTGAGTCCGCACGGGTAGGTACCACCGCCCTGCCTATTTCTGCCGTGAAGCAGTAATGCGTTTCGGTCTGAAGGGTAGGGCAGCCGTTGTAACTATACTGAGATCTTACAACTTATATCTCAAGGTGGGTGGCGCATTTACGTTGTAGATGTCTATGGGCTCCATTAACCACTTAACACCAGGTGGGCTGTGAGCTCGTCCATCCATCAAAGCAATATAAAAAAAAAGTGATTGAAATTTGTTGCTATCACAGCCGTTATTCCCGTACCGCCTGAGCTCTTGAAGACTCCCAAAAAAAACCCACTAACTCCCTTGTTTAGCTACTCGAATCTCGAGCGAAAGGCTGCGTTGATTTCTGTCTCTCTAATACTATTATTGGAAGAGGACTATTGATTTATCATATGTATGGCCCAAGTGTCTTTCGCGCCTCCAAATTTCATAGGACTGTGAAGAATATGGTCTATACTATAATAATATTATAAAGGGGAAAGATTTGTTTGTTTGTTTGTATTGAATAGGCTCCGAAACTACTGCACCGATTTGAATAATTCTTTCACTGTTTGGAAGCTACACTATTCCCGAGTGACATAGGCTATAATCTTTTTTGAAAAAAATTAGGGATCCTTACAAAAACTCCAATAATGTAACCCAAGGTATAAAAAAATTATCTAAAATATTCTTTGCATCGCATGCCTTGCGAAAACTATTGATGATAGAATAAAATAAAGTACTACGACTTTGTAGAACACATTATTATTTACAAAAAGTGTCGCAACAACATATGTCCAACTATTATAGTTATGCCGCAATAAGTGTTCTTTTATTTTTAAAAATAAAACAACTTCAAATATCGTTGAAATTTTTGTTAGAGACCCGAGTGGAGCCGGAACGGGCCGCTAGTTATTAATAAAGAAACGTTAATTTCTAAGCTACAAATAAATACAAGCAATTCTTATTTGCTCAAACGGATTATTTTTCTAACAACGTTATTTTTTTGATGTTAATTAAAATGGTAACGATACGATGAAAATTCAATTTGAAATTTGGAGTCGGAGTTCGCGGAAAGGCTCAGGAAAATGAAAAGCTTCCCGAAAACCGTGGAAATGTACTTAATTTTCAAAAAAAGAAAATAAAACCTCTTCGGATCTGTAATCCAGACGAAAAACTGCCTTGTTTAAAATTCAAGGTTTGACCTTAAATAAAGCCGGCAAAGTCGAAAGGATTTCCTTCAAGTTTATGAAAGTAAAATTAAATAAATCCAATTGTTTGACTGGATGAATATTTAATTATGAGATTTTCAATTGGATTTCGTTCCGCTTGAAATTTATTCAGCGAATTGTTTAGATATAATATGTCCTGTATGGTCCGAATGGGTATCACCGTACTGCCCATTTTAGTAGTCATTTTTTGAAGGATATATCTATATAGGCAAATATATTAATATTGTATACAACAGTGACATATAAAGGTATTGTGTTATCTTTGAATAAGTTTGAATCTGATCTTTGAATCTGTTTTGAAGTTGTCGTGGCCTAAAGGATAAGACGTCCGGTGCATTCATATTAGCGATGCACTGGTGTTCGAATCTCGCTGGTGGGTACCAATTTTTCTAATGAAATACGTACTCAACAAATGTTCAAGATTGACTTCCACGGTGAAGGAATAACATCGTGCAATAAAAATCAAACCCGCAAAATTATAATTTGCGTAATTACTGGTGGTAGGACCTCTTGTGAGTCCGCACGGGTAGGTACCACCGCCCCGCTTATTTCTGCCGTGAAGCAGTAATGCGTTTCGGCTTGAAGGGTGGGGCAGCCGTTGTGACTATACTGAGACCTTAGAACTATATCTCAAGGTGTGTGGCGCATTTACGTTGTAGATGTCTATGGGCTCCACTAACCACTTAACACCAGGTGGGCTGTGAGCTCGTCCACACATCTAAGCAATAAAAAAAAAAAATCTTTGCCTATATATTTTATCCTTTAGATTCATTTTATGATTTTTTTTCTTATTAATGAATAATATTATATAATTATAATATAGGTATTCCCTAAGTATACGCTTACTTATTCTAGGTATACACCTTTTTCGAATGTCAATAAGAAAAAAAATCACAAAATGAATCTAAATCTTAAGTAGTTATGGTTGAATTTCGATCATCGAGAAACACACTACAAAGTATACCTAAAAGCAGAGTTTACCTGAATATATAAAAATGTGTTATTTTTTTAATTTTTATTCCAGTAAAAACCATACATTTTGTTAGTATTACTTATAATATATGTTAGTAAGTAGCACAAAGTATTTGACTATTTATAATAATTTTTTTGAAGTCTATCCCAAACTGTCATGTTATACATGAAGCGATTCTACGAAGCACTGCTCCTGCTAGGGCCAGTGTTAGCAACACTCCCGATTTGAGCCCCGTCAGCTCACCTACACGTCAAGGAAAAGCTGAAATAGCCTCTCAAGGCTATCAGCATAGGTAGGAGAAAGAAAAAAAGCGACTGTCGTTATATTTGATTACTCCGAGAAATGCATAAGTTTTTTTTTTAAAGTAGAAAAATATAAACAAATAGTTTACGCGGCTAATTCTAAACGAATTGCCGGCTTCGGGCTAAAAACGCGTTGCGAGAAAGCCTTGCGATTTGCATAAAAAGGCAACATCATTCAGTTGACAAAACAGCCCTAAAACCTCTTTCATTTAAGTTTAAAATTTGTTAGAGAATCGCTCTAATTGTTATTGTACTACGTTCGAGGTATGTGTAGTGTATAGTAAAGCAGTTGTCGGTTTTCGGAAGTGTTATTGGAGATTGGCCAACATCACACTCATTCTTTATTTCATTACGGATCCTCTCGATCCATTAGCGGTGCTTTTAGGTACCTCAAGCACCGGTCACTGTCCTCGCCGAACCTCGCTTGCGACGAAGGGCTTGATGAATAAATTTATCTCATAGACCCAGCCAACTGAGTTTTTCACCGGATCTTCTCAGTGGGTCGCATTTCTTCTTATCCGATTCTGCGAAGCACTGCTCTTGCTAGGGCCAGTGTTAGGAACACTTCAGGTTTAAGCCTCGTGAGCTCATCTACACGTTAAAGAGAAGCTGAAATACCCTCTCAAGACTATCAGCATAGGTAGGAAAAAAATATCCTATTTTTTTAAACCGCAGTTCGAATCAGGAATTTACTGCTGAAAAGAAGCCACTGCAATGTCGAGCCAAGATTTTAGGCTTAACCAAAGGCTTTAAACGTAATTGAAAATTTTGAAGACGTGTTTTTTCCATTCGTGTTTTTGTCTTATAGTTATATTTTATATATAATTTTATTTAAATTATCCTGTCAAATTAGTCTGATGAGGTGACTTTGTGAATTGAGTATTCCATTTTCGTGGTTCTATCTCAAGATTCTAAGCAAATTCATATCAAAAGATGTTTGATTTCATCACCGATTTCTGTGCCTACAAATTGTTTTTCTCTGCTTATAAAGTTTATCGAAATAGAATGCCAAATATTAGTTCCTCGTTTTGCGTCACATTTTGATTAATAATGATCGAACAAGCTAGTTGCGTCGACTGCGGTAACCTTTTTTGAGGGACTACCAGTCAGTGCGTATGAAGTCTTTTTGAAGCAATATTGAACTTCTTTACAGTGCGTATGAGACCTGATAGACCTAACAAAAGTTCGTTTTTTAATATACCCACACCCATAGAGATGTGGGTATAGTCGCCTCCCGCATCGAGTGAAAGAACGTGGTTTTAACTTCCAGAGGACAGTCAAGCATTTTTTTTTATTGCTTAGATAGTTGGACGAGCTCACAGCCCACCTGGTGTTAAGTGGTTACTGGAGCCCATAGACATCCACAACGTAAATGCGCCACCCATCTTGAGATATAAGTTCTAAGGTCTCAAGTAAGTTACAACGGCTGCTCCATCCTTCAAACCGAAACGGATTATTGCTTCACGGCAGAAATAGGCAGGGTGGTAGTACCTCACCCGCGCGGACTCACAAGATTTCCTACCACCAGTAATTACGCAAATTACAATTTTGCGGGTTTCATTTTTATTACACGATGTTATTCCTTCACCGTGGAAGTCAATCGTGAACATTTTGTTGAGTACGTATTTCATTAGAAAAATTGGTACCCGCCTGCGGGATTCGAACACCGGTGCATCGCTTCAACACGAATGCACCGGATGTCTTATCTGTTAGGCCACGACGAGCATGGGGCTTTTTAAGCCGCATAACGCAGTCAACGTATTAAATCATTACAATCGGTTACCTTACTGTTCATTTCCTATCTCCAAAGTTCATGGAACACAGAAAACGGTGGCACCTTTCGCAATTAATTCAAATTAATACGTTTGCGGACGACTTAAATCAAAAGGGGACGTTTCGCCACAAATAATGGATGGCCCGAGCGAGGGTTTAAGCGTCAAGTTATTCTCAAGTTTAAGTGAACACCGTCATTGAATTGAAAATCTGGTTTATAAGTATTAAGTTCACGATTTGCATTTGTTTCAACTTAGTGATTTTATTTCATGTGTCACATATGCACCATATCATCTGCTAAAGCTAGAGCTAAAGCAATTGGATACTAAAGGAATCATTCTTTAGTATCCAATTGGTAACTGGACATATTCAATACTGCATCATATAATCTGCTAAAGCTAGAGCTAAAGCAATTGGATACTAAAGGAATCATAATTATCCAATTGGTATTTGGTGTCTTCTTCTGAAAAATATGATGATGTATCTCTTACTTGAGCTTGTAGCTTGTGCTTGTCAACCATCAATGTTAAGATGCCTGCACAGATTAATTAGTTTGTATTTATCTAAGGGAAGCTCTTTACTAGTAATCGACTTGTCGATCTGAAACCATAACTTAGATGCGTGACCATTTGACACACTCATAGTTCATCAGACTATCTCATGATTCGCTTTGAGTTAATGACTAAAAATTGTTTATAATCCTTTTATTTAATTTTTTTTTATAGCTTAGATGGTGGGACGAGCTCACAGCCCACCTGGTGTAAAGTGGTTACTGGATCCCATAGACATCTACAACAAAAATGCGCCACCCGTCTTGAGATATCAGTTCTAAGATCTCGGTATAGTTACAACGGCTGCCCCAACCTTCAAACCGAAACGCATTACTGCTTCACGGCAGATATAGGCAGGGCGGTGGTACCCACCCGCGCGGACACACAAGAGGTCCTACCACCAGTAGTAAACTAACCTAACATCATTAGAGGGTTCATTTAAAATCAACTCACACATCTAAATCTCTGTTCCGAGTATTTATAATTATAGAATCGGTTAGCGAAGCAGCTATATCATACAACACACGCTGCTGTGGAATCTTTAGGGAATTCTGAGTATCTGCCTTTGAAGCACGTACTCGAAGCTAATAATGCAGAACTGCCTCACTTCGGAGAAGCTTTTGTGATGTGTTAAACAAAGATAGCGCAAGCTACTAATGCTATGATAAGCTACTGTGCCAATCTGAAGTTTAAAGGATATATGTAGTTCTAAGTATTAGGTTCTCCTAAGTATTAGCTTAGGATTTTCATCATAAAAAGATAATATAAGTAAGTAATGAATTATGTATATATTTACTGTATTAACTTTCTTAAATAAAGCTCCTAGTTGAGTTACAGCAGATGAATTTAAAAATAAAAGCTCTGTTTCTAAACGAAATCTTAAAAAAATATCTGTACATAAATAATGAAACTTACAAGTCGGGATCAAAGCTCTTGGAAAGTTGTATCTTAAAAGCTCTCTGGATAGTTGGCATCTCGTGAAGACCTTCGCGTGCCCTTCGGAGCTGTGGACTAGGGTCACGGCCAGAAACAGTAGACCGAGATGTGGTGATTGGACCATCTGTGGAACGAAAAATATTGTATTAGGGAATTTGTATTATTTACTTGTGTCATTAAACAAAGAAAAAAATAGGTTGTCTGTTAAGTCGGTTTACTGACGATAGTTGAACGTGATAACGTCATAAGAAAATACTGATGGAATGGTTTCATTTTTCAAAAGAAAATTTGAATTTTATTTGTTTGATAGATATTTTGTATGCACACCACATTCTTTTTTCACTGAACTTCATACTTGACGAAAACATGTAAATGTATTATTGTATAGCAGCTGTCAACGCGGATGCATCGCTCACTCAAGTAGGACAGAGACAGATGTCGAACGATGCCGAACGCGGAGGCCGATTGTGCCTCTTTGTCGCTCGTTGCGCGCTCTCGCTTGCACTTCAAGCCTTAAATGGAACGCCTCAATGATTCATGTTTTTTCGTGCGTGCAGCCGGCTCCATCGAATTATAAGACGTTGTCACGTCAAAAATATGTATGTTGAAGACGGTCATCAGTTTAGTAGCTAAACGAAACGCAGCACGATTCCCGAGAGATGGCAGCACGATCGCGGTATCGTCGGAGCTCGGTTAACTTCGTGGTACGACAGAGCTTAGCCGATGGAGGCGCATAGACGCCATCACACTCACCAACCAGCCTTCTTGAAGAGCGGTGCCTCCGTCCTAAGAACTGTCATATGTTTCGTCTGCTAAGCTCGATCACCCTATTCGCCCCTATGATGTCTGACGATGGTGTTAATAAATGTGGTTTTCTCCGACATATATTATCGAGCTTAACAGTTCTCCACGTCACCGTTGTATAGTTTGGCGCTGTTTTAATTTCCTATAATATTCGAGTTCAAAGATACTCGTATGAACCGGAATCTGCAGAGGAATCATTTGCATTACCGGTGCACTCACGGCTTCCACTTGACTAATTAATATGTGGGAAGCGTCGACAGTGCGTTTCCATTGTTCGCTACGATACGGTTTAAGTGGCAAGCGGTTTTAAGAAATAGAGTTCATTCGTAGTATAATAAAATGACGCTTTTTTACAATAAAAGATTTTTTTATTACACTATTTTTAATTCAAATTTATAAAAATTTATTATCTATTTTTTACTTGGATTTTCTATAAAAGCGTATTTTGTTAGTTTTTTTAAACTATTATTTATTTTTCATTTTTAAGTTGAATTGCAATTTTTTCAATTTTTTTTAAAATATTGATTTGTCATCGGTCCTCAATTAGTATACCAAATTTCGAGTTAATCCGACGTTTTGAAGGGGGTCAAAATCATGTTCAAAGATTCCGTTACAAACATACATACATACGTCTGAAGCTAATAAAAGCGTATTAAAAAAAGCGAAACATGACCGGATTTCACTAGTATGTTTAAATAGATTGTCAGAAGTATGACGGAGCATCGCTAGATACCTCTATACTAATTTGACTGATTGATCTTTTGTTACTTAAGCAATAGTCAGCCCAATAGCAGACCCAATCCGAACTTCTCTTGGATATGATAAATTTTGACTGTTTATTTACTCTACCTTCCAAAATACTATTGAAGCTGAATTTTTTTTATTGCTTAGATGGGTGGACGAGCTCACAGCCCACCTGGTGTTAAGTGGTTACTAGAGCCCATAGACATCTACAACATAAATGCGCCACCCACCTTGAGATATAAGTTGTAAGGTCTCAAGTATAGTTACAGCCGATGCGTAAACCTAAAGAATATTTCATCGCGAATCTTAGTATAATGGAAACGAACAGATAGCGACGGAAAGAACACGTACGCGAACAACGTTCAAATAAAACATCTTAACTGCGGCTACTTTACGGTTTCCCACTGACAAAATACTACCGGAATTGCCTTACTTATTATTTATTGAAGCTATTGTTACTAAAGTATAACGTTCGGCGTAAATAATGGGAATCCCGCCGAAATTGTGGAAGTTCTAGCTTCAACGATTGCAAAGCAATAGCACATTGTAATAAAAATGAAACCCGCAAAATTATAACTTGCGTAATTACTGGTGGTAGGACCCCCTGTGAGTCCGCGCGGGTGGGTACCACCACCCTGCCTATTTCTGCCGTAAATGTCTATGGGCTACAGTAACCACTTTACACCAGGTGGGCTGTATCTAGCAATAAAAAAAATATTGTAATATCGGCCGTGTCAGTCAATTTCGGATCTATCGTCTTATGAGTTATATTGAAAGCGACTTATATTACCTATTGTCTTACTTATGTCAAATTTTATTTATTGTTTCATTTTCTTTTCAATCACAATAATTTTGGAAGCCTAGAGGAAGGCCTGAAGTGCCGGAGGACAAGAGGGAATGCGATGTCGCTGACGAGGATGTCGAAGACAGAGCGAAATGTAGGAGACAAATAAGGAAAACTGACCCCATCACCATGTGAGATGAATAGCTAGGGAAATCGAACTCGACAAAGAGGTCGACGTGCAACCTAACCCATGCATCAGCCCGCTGAGTTTCTCGCCGGATCTTCTCAGCGGGTCGCGATTCCGATCCGGTAGTAGATTAATTCGCGAAGCAGTTGCTCTTGAGTTGTTAGGTCTCCTTTGGAGGCGCTCGGGCAGCTGTTAGCAAATCCCATCCCTTCTGGCTGGGCTTTTGCTCGCCCACCTGTCCTGGTGAAACTGGAAAGGCCTCTGGGCCACCAGTAATCCATCAATCATACGACATATAGGTCTACGTCGCCTATGCATATGAGGAATACCAGGGGCATAACGAGGACTATCTTCAAACCTCATTTTGAAGTTCGAAGAACGATGTGTCACGGCGTTCTGGAAGCAGACGAGGAAATCATTCCACGGTCGCAATCGATCTCAAGGAATTGCATCTGAAGTGAAAACTTATTTAGCGCCATTGTGATATGCAATTGGATTAAAGGTTGAAAGCGAAACAAAATTTAATGAACATTGCGATTTTATTAATTATGAATGCAATGCTATGTAAAATTCAAAATTGAACAACTTCAAAATAAACAACAACAACAACAATAATAATGAGCGCTGTATTGTTTGGAGACTGTAGCGAGAACAATTTGTGTGCATAACCTTCTAGAACTACCGTGGATGCCCGCGGCCGACTTCCGTTTCATAACTCGCTCTAGTCCGTCGAAACACGAAGTTTCACGTTTTCGTAAAGGCACGGTCTAGATTTGTATTTTAAAATATAAAAAATTTATAAATATACAAATAAATAATAATTATTAAACAAATTAATAATTATTACAAATAAATAATAATTATTAAACAAATTAATAAGTATTACAAATAAATAATAATTATTAAACAAATTAATAATTATTATTACATTGTTCATATTTATATATCTCTTTCTCTTCTTCAACCCGTGTCCACCCTGTGTTGAGGTCTCTTCGAATGCACCCCATTCTCTTCGGTCTCTTGCCTTTCTCATCCAGTCTCTACTAACTACTTTGATCGGTCCACCTCATTCGCTGTCTGCCCCCGTTAGACTTCCAGTAGGAGGTTTCCACTCCAGTACTTTTGTGTACAGTACAGTACAGTTGTGTAAAGTATGTATGTAAAGAAAAACCTTTATTATTTAAAACTTTTTAGTTTAAAAAAAGGATAATTTCAAAGGAAATTACGATGAAAGATTCCGTTACGTAGGTTAGAGACAGGTCAAAGGCAGTGAAGGCGCTTGTAAAAAAATGGCACAGTGTGTTCATAGCCTAATCTAAATGCAGTGAGTTGCGAACGCGCGATATTCAACCTTACACAATGGAGTTTAAAGCTATGTTTCGTATCATTCGTGTTGGCTGCTACTGATTCCTGTGTTATGAAAAATTAGTCTGATACTACGAATAAATAAACTTATTATTTATTATATACTACAAATAAATAAACTTATTATTTATTCGTAGGTCTGATAGGAGTGTCGTTTGACGTTCCCGAATTTCGTAGTGTATTTTATTTCGGTACTGGGAATTTTCAGGGGAAATAGTTTGAGATGATTCGATCATCTATAATTTATCTTTGCAATAAAAGGAACAGAGTTTACTCACAACAAACATTTTTTGGCAAGTATATAATATAATTATTTTTTTAAGGGATTTTATGACCTGGTAACTAAGACCTTTAAGTCATGTCTTATTTTAATTTATATTCTTATTTTTATGAAAAATTATAATATAGAGTAAAATGAAAATATGAAGATGATTAATTTGAGACATTAATCAACTGGGATGAAATTAAATTAAATGAGATGAGATGATGTGGGATGAAATATAATTTTAGTAAAATGGTGGTCATTTACTGAGATTTTTTCAGTGGACTTTTTGGAGGATCCCGAGAAGTTAGTTCAGCGGCTTTGTTTCATTTTCCCAGATTTGTGCACTTTCACAGATATTAAACAGTTAATAAACCATCGTTATCTTATACCTTTAAACGAGCAATTCTTGTATATTAATATAATATATATAATCTGAATCTCGGAAACAGCTCCAAAGATTTTCATAAAATTTAGTATACAGGGGATTTCGGGGGCGATAAATCGATCTAGGTACGATTTATTTTCAGAAAATATTGTTTTATTCATGTTTTCAATAATCAACTCTTCCTGACATCTGTTGGCAAATAATAATACTATTTTTCCTAATTGAGGGCAACTAACCGCTTCGAAGACAGTGCCGATGAGTAGGTTACATAAGATACGAAATTCATTCGGGTGTTTGTCTGTGCGCCTGTACAATAAAATCCCACAAGATGTTCAGAACCTACATATACATAGGTTTAAGAAAACTGTTAAAGAACATCTGTGCAATAAAGCTTACTATAAAGTCAATGATTATCTAGAAGATTGCACAAAGTGGGAATGAGTTGCTCGCTCCGGGCATTTCAATATTGTAGTAATTGTTACGTTATAATACTCATTGTAAAAAACTCATATTTAAAAAAAAAATTTAATANACGAGCATACGGCCCACCTGATGGTGAGTGGTTACCGTCGCCCATGGACTTCAGCAAT